TTCCTCCCGGTGACCCTGCAGAAGCACCGTGCCCTGCTCCGAGGAGCCCTGGCATGGCCTAAGCCCATCCACGTGGCCACTGATCTGCCCAGTACCCCGGCAGCACCCCACCCCTGCAGCATCTCCACCAACATGCACCTTTGGGGTGAGGGGAGCCTTGACCCTCCTGCTGGGATGGTCCCCTGCAACAAAACCCCCTGTCCCCTAAATGCTGCTGGCACCCTCCCAGCTGCTGGGTGAACAGAGAAAGCCCAGAAACGGGTGCTGGAAGGGAGGGAAGCATGTCCCCCACCACCTCCATGGACACTGGGGCCATGCACCATCCCCAGGACCACTGGCAGTGCCTGGGGGGCAACTCCTTGCCCACCCTAGGGTGATGCTCCCCACGGGCAAGGCGAGAGCCTCGCCCACGGTCCCCAGCTGCTCTGGTGGTGCACTGGGGACCTCAAAAAGGGCTGCTTTTCTGCTGAGCACTCATGGACCCCCATGCCTGCTGGGGGACCCCCATGCCGGGCTGAGCTGTGCAAGCACACATGCACTGCTGCAGCCAGTGCAATCCCAGCACACCAGAATTACCCCAGTTAAAGGAAGGGGTAAAACCAGGTGTAGCCTTCACCTGTGAGGCCAGTGCAGTCCAGTAAACCCCACAGGCAGCCTGAACACGGGGCTAAACCCAGGACAGACCCAGTGTGGGGTTTAAGTCGGGGCAGTCCGAACATGGGATTATACACCATGCAGCCCCAGGAGCAGGATTAAATCCTGCTTGGTCCAGGAGAGGGATTAAAACCGATTTAGCCCAGGAGTGGGATTAAATCCAGTGCAGTCCTAATTTGGGGTTAAATCCAGCTAAGCCCATGAGTGGGGTTAAATGCAGCTCAGCCAAAATGAGGTGTTAGACCCAGCACAGCCCAAACACTGGGTAAGCAGTCCAAATGTGGGGTTAAACGCTGCACAGCTCAGGAGAGGGGTTAAGCCCTGCTCAGCCCAAACACTGGGTTAACCCCTGTGCCACCAGGGAACCAGTTCATCTCCACAACCAGGTACAAGGCGCATCTCCACTCAACCCAGAACAACCCCCCAACGAGCCCCCTTGGCGATGCCCCACTGATCACAGCCTCACTGGTGTCCAAAGCCAAGCCCAAACTGCTCCCACATCCCAAGGGTCACGTCTCTTCAGGGGCGGATGCCAGCCTTTCGCGCAGCCATTAGCGGGACCCAGTGCTGGGCGGGCGGAGGGCCACCCCACACCTTGGCATGGTGGTAGCTTCATGGAGGTCAGGCTCTTCTTCTACCCCAGATGGGAAGCTCCCACCCCAACGCCCTGATTCCTGCCCTCCCCTGCTCCATCCCATGGGAAGGAGGTGTC